CTGTAACCAATTAAAGGTGCTAGAAAGATGAGGAGGCATTTTTACTGGATGTGACAGTCAAAGTATAAATGTTTTATTATCTACAGAAAGGCGGAGTAAAATCTGGATTCAAGCATGTTGTGATCAACGACATGAATGTGAAGCGCCTGCTGCACGTCAAAGGCCGCCGCATGGTCAGAGCCACTGAGGTGAACTTATCCTGGGACAGCTTCAACAAAGGAGACTGCTTCATCATTGACCTTGGAAAGGTGAGATAAGGTCTACTCTCATTGAAATTAAATGTGTAATCACCGCTCATTTTATCTCCTTCTCCTCGGCTGTGCAACAATAGGATATCTACCACTGGTCTGGTAGCGAGAGCAACCGTTATGAACGAATTAAAACCACTCTGATGGCTGGAGACATCCGCGACAATGAGAGAAACGGGCGCGCTGAGATTCATATGATTGATGAAGGTTCTGAACCTGAGGCTGTCATCAAGGTAAGCTTTATCTTTCTCTGACTCTCTCTGTGGAAACACTTTCCAACATCTTTCTCTCTGGTGGTTTAGTTTCAACCACGTTAATCAAAAAACAACCTGGACATTTATAGGAACTTGGACCAAAGCCAGAGCTACCATCAGGAAGCTGTGATGAATCCCATGAAACGTCCAAGAAGAAGAAGGCATCTCTGTACCTGGTAAAGATATATATGCATAAAACACTGGTGAACGTACCCCAATGATGTCATGATTTTATTCAAAGATCTGACCCACATGCAGAAAACCAATCAGAGAGACCAGGGGAAGGTTTAACAGGTTTATTGAAAACAGGTACAGATGGATGACAGGTACAATGTGCTGCTCTGAACACTGGCGAAATGGGACTGAAAAGTGAAGGGGAAGTTTCCGTGTTAGTTCAGGCTCAGTGGGAAATTTGAGCTTCGATTTGAAAAAAGGCAGAAAAGGCAACTGGACTCATGTTTCCAGAAAAGGTGTCTTTCTCTGAATCCAGTCTGTGTGGGTTTTTCCAGTAATTAGCTTGCTCGTTGGAGGGCGGACAGGGTTTACCCAGGTTAAGGTGTTTCCTTGATGAACGGAGGAGCTGACTGCCACTTAGATTTCCAATGGTACTTGAACGGTTCTTGTGGAGATGAATCCCCTGCTCAGTGTGAAGCTCAAACAATCCTTGGGGAAAAGAAGATCCAAACCTCCAGTTTGAATCCCCAGCTTAGTTTGAAGCTCAGATGATCCTTCCAGGGGAAGAAGGTTCATAACATCCAGTTTGCAGGATGACTTCCTGCCGAGAGGCAAAGACAAAAACAAAGTTAAACTCAGGTTGACAAAAACTCAGTTTGACTCAGCAAAACTCAGCTTGGCTAGAGTACCCAAAACTGGCAAACACTCTGGCATCGAGGTAGTGGCAGTCAGCAGCTTAAGAGTCCTCCGGTAATGAGGCAACCATCCACAGGTGTGTGGAAGGGCCAACGAGAACCAGGCGCCACCTGGTGGTGAAGGGAGAACACACAAAAACACAACCCAAACAAACTGGATTCCTAACAAATTAAAGGTTTTATGAAATGTTCATTAATTCCTGGGTTGGAAGAAGGGCAACGATTGCCCCTTAACGCATCAGCTCATTAGCAGAGTAAAAAACAGTGCTGCAGTTGTTTCATGCATCTGAACAGCCTCTATTCTTCCTATATTCTTAAATAAATGGGGACATATGAGTAAATAATCAGGATATTAATAAAATCTTGAAACTATGGGCAGCAGCTACACTAAATTTATAACACTGTTTTTTGTTTTTGTTTTATTTGAATGACATACTTTTGCTTTTTTTTTATTTGTAGATTTCTGATGCTGCTGGTAGCATGACAACAAGTTTGGTTTCCAGTTCATGCCCATTCAAACAAGACATGCTGTCCTCCAGTGAATGCTACATCTTGGACAATGGAGAGGATGGCAACATATTTGTTTGGAAAGGTATTAGAATTTTATTAGAATGTATCCTGCTCCTTCTTCTAGCTTTTTGCTCTCTATTTGATCATTATTAATACGGTTTGTTCTCATAGTGTTAAGTTATTGCTGAAGAACAACTCATTCACATATTTAACCAAAATTCGTTGAATTCTGACCATTGTGCTACATGTGGAATTGCAGGACCCAAGGCCAACACCAAGGAGCGTAAAGAAGCACTGAGTAATGCTCAGCAGTTCATCAAAGAGAAGAACTACTCCCACAAAACTAAGGTACTGTAGCTACAGTACGTAGTTAATGCCTCCATTTCTTTGTATCAGGAAATCATAGTCATTGTTTGGTGTGTCTCTGCCAAAAACAGGTTCAAGTCATCCCCGCTGGGAGCGAGACCACTCTGTTCAAGCAGTTCTTTTTCAAATGGCTGGAGGGAAAGCTCTCAGTCCAGACCCACTCTGTGGGCAGCATCGCTGACGTGAAGAAGATTCCCTTCGATGCCTCAAAACTCCATGATAATAAAAAGATGGCTGCCCAGCATGGTATGGTGGATGACGGCTCTGGTAAAGTCCAGGTACTGACTCTGCTACAATCATAAGGAGTATCTATCTTTTTATTAGCAGTAGCTGTGGTGATAATAGCGGTAAAGATGCTTCTATATCACTCTGTCGGGTGTTTGTAGATCTGGCGTGTGGAGGGAAGTGATAAAGCCCCTGTGGACCCATCCAGCTACGGACACTTCTATGGAGGAGACTGTTACCTGGTGCTTTATTCCTACAGTAATGGAGGCAGACAGAAGCATATCATCTACACCTGGTAGGTGAACCTCAGCGTAAACAGAACTCCATATAATTGCTCCTCCCTCCTCACTAGTTTAACTAACTGCAATTTGTCTGCCAGGCATTAAAATCAGCACTCATAGTCTTTGTAGATATACTTATCTGTTTCTAAAAAAGTCATATAAGATTCTAGATCAACAGTTATGAGTTACATGTTGGATTGACTAGATACTGTTTGGTGAATTTTGTCCTATTGCTGTTCTTCTTAATTACCAAAAGGTTTCTGTGAGTAAATTTGCAGTTTTTCTGATTTTATGTTTTTAACTGATTTAATAATATAACATAATTATGTTTTCCAATTTATTTTCTTTTAGATTTTTCATTTTCAGATTGAGTTTAACAAACTACATCTTCTAAAAATTGAATTTAAAAGAATACAATTGGCGAAACTCATTGTAAAAAATAGGGAAAAAAAAGAATCTGAATATATGAAAACTTTGAAAAAAATCGTTAAAAAATGCATTTAGAAAAATAATAAGAATAAAAAGACATCAAAAAAGATATCTGAAAATACAATGTTTTGAAAAAACTAAACCTATGAAAACAGCAACGTTTTTCTCAAAAACCTTTTTATTAAGAAGTTGGGTTTTAACTTAAGTAAAAATGAAATTATTAAGTAAAATTTCTGCATGGCATTTTTTCAAGTTTGCAACAATAATTACACTAAATATAGTAGTGAACTGGTAGAGAACTGACAACAATAAATCAATCAAAACAAAGGATGCATACTTGTAGCACATTAATTAAAAGCAGGAAATAATCTTTTTATTGATTCAAAGCTTAAATAAACATTAAAAGCATTGCATTAAGTGTTGCTTTGCTGCAGGCAAGGCCAAAAGTGCAGTCAGGATGAACTGGCTGCTTCGGCATTTCTCACAGTCCGACTGGATGATTCAATGGGAGGAGTGGCCACTCAGGTATGTTATTCTCATTTTTTACTAAATGTACAGCTTTAACTTACAAGATTTAATTTAGTTTCAAGGTTTTTAGCTCCAAGTAGCACTTTTTTTGTGGATGTTCTCCTTGTGCATGTGTGGATTCTTCTCAGGTACTCCAGCTTCCTCAGACAGTGAAAAAACATGACTGTTTGGTCTGTTGAAAACTCTAAATTGCCCCATAGGTGTGAGTTTGTGGCCATGATTGTTTGCCTTGTGTGTCTCTGTGTTCCCCTGCAATGGTTGATCCTGAATCTACCCTGACTTTGGCCTTATGACAATAGAGACTTGCAAACCAGCAATAATGTTTTTTAATGTTGGGAGGAAACCAGAGTATCCAGAGACTATTATTTTCAATCGTGCAGAAAATGATCGCATCCAAAAATTCAACACTTTAGTGTAGAAAAATACTTTTTTTTTTAAATTCAGTACTGTATGATTCTTAAATCAAAGTGAAAATGTTGAACATAGCTGGAGTAGCTTTTGCTAATCACTTTGCTTGTGTTGCCTCATGTTACCTTTAAGGAAATTCTGGTGAAAGAGTTTCAGCAAACCTGCTCAGATCATTTGCTCAAAATGATGAGCCACCTTTGTCTTTTGCATTTACCCAGAAACTGGATCAAAACATTTGACTCCAGTGTTTGAGATTTGCAGAGATGGCAAAAGTACTCACTTTCCGTACTTGAGTAAAAGTACAGATACTTGTGTTAAAAAATACTCTGGTAAAAGTGGAAGTACTGATTAAACTTCTTAACTCAAGTAAAAGTAACAAAGTACAGGCTTGTAAATTTACTTAAAGTATAAAAGTAAAAGTAGAAACCACTTTTTTCATGCCGTTGCCTACATTTTAAATGGATGTCTGCCAATAGGACTAGATCTCCGTTGTGTTCATTTTCAATCATCTCGTCGTCCATGCTACTATGCTAACGCCACCGCCACCAAGCTGCAATGATTTGCCGCCAATGAATTCCGCCGAATCTGTCGATTCATCTTGTAGTGGTGCGTCAAATGCAACGTAGATTCCCATCCAATTAGATTGAATTTGGTATTGATGACGTGAAAAATAATAACGGTAACTCCATTGAAATAATTCAAAACTAAAGTAACGAGCCAATTTTTAAAAATGTAAGGAGTAGAAAGTACAGATATTTGTGTAAAAATGTAAGGAGTAGAAGTAAAAAGTCGCCATAAAAATAAGTAGTAAAGTAAAGTAAAAATATCAGAAAAATCTACTTGAGTACAGTAACGAAGTATTTGTACTTCGTTACTTCCCATCTCTGGAGATTTGGGACAAACGATTAATTTCTTCTTTTTTTTTTTTATAATTTTTTATTTTTAAACGTTTTCACAGTATCAAGACATATAAAAACACAAACATTAACATATATGGGAAGTATGCCAATATTCGCAAGACAAGGTTTTAAGTACAGAAACGTATCATTCATACAAAATCTGACCTTAAGGGTTTTATGTACTCAGTCCATTTAGTCCAGATTTTATAAAACATGTCCTTTTGCATCCTGAGGGAAATAGACAACTTTTCCATGACATATATTTCGTGTATTATATTGATCCAATCTTCAATAGTTGGAGGTTCCACTCCCAGCCACTTTCTTGTGATGGACTTTTTAATTGCAACAAGTAACATACCAAGTAATCTTTTATTATTATTATTCCAATTTGTCACAGGAACATCACCCAAATACAGTGTTTCACATTTAAGGGCAAACGATTAATTTCAATCTGTTTATAAAGAATATACTTTAAAATCAATACAGGCTGAAAATCAGTGATTACTACTAATAATATCCCACCTCCCAGCAGCCATTTTCAGGATGTATAAATGTCTCTTTTTGCACCTTACAGCTATTAGCCTGGACTATCGAAAAGCTACTGCTAATTTTGTTTTAGATCAGATTAAATAGTCTTATTAATATGAGGTGCAATGATTGACATATTATCCCCTCAAACCTTTCTGAAAATTTGATGCCCAGACATGTCTGTCTGGTCTTTAATGGGGTATAAAACTTTCCTGAATGCATTTAATTTATTACTTAAGTGCAGATGGGCTGCAGGAGTGAACGCCCATGACTTTAACAAACAGGTTGAGCAACAGCTGTGTCTCTACAGGTCCGCGTCACTCAGGGTAAAGAACCTGCACATTTGGTGAGCCTGTTTAAAGACAAGCCGCTGGTGGTCCACCTGGGTGGGACGTCCCGCAAGGGTGGAGAGAGCAAACCTGCCGGCACGAGGCTCTTCCATATCCGCCAGAGCTCCACCAAAGCACTGCGAGCTGTTGAGGTCCGCTCTTTTTATTACACAGATTTAACATTGACAGGATGCTGTTTGTGTTAAAAAGAGGAAAATCTGTCCTCTCTCACTCAGGTGGAAGCCACGGCCTCTAGTCTGAACACCAACGACGTCTTTGTGCTGAAATCGCCCAACTCCCTGTTTGTGTGGAAGGGGAAGGGAGCAAGTCTGGATGAGATGACTGCAGCCAAGTACGTTGCTGGCATGCTGGGAGGAACTCCGACCGAGATGGAGGAATCCAAGGAACCAGGTGAGAGGCATGTGTAGGCTTTGTATACATTCCAAAGAGGCTTTATAAGTCATGCTAAACGAGAGCTTATCCTATTGGCAGCTGGTTTCTGGTCTGCACTGGGAGGAAAGAAAGACTACCAGACCTCCAGTACCCTCCAGAATGCAGCAACGCCTCCAAGACTGTTTGGCTGTTCCAACAAGACCGGTCGGCTCATAGTGAGTATTCCTCTTCAGGTTTCACATTTTGTCTTTTATATTTCTACTAATATCACATCTTTTATGTTTTTGAGTAGCGTAAAAACAGAGAAGACAGGAAACATAGTTTTTACTTTGTTTTAAAAATACAAATCTGAAAAGTATGAGTAGACCATGCTGAGCGGATTTCTTAGAGCTATTTCTGTTACAACTAAACATCTAAGGAGTAGAATCTGTAATGATCTTGGTTCTGTTGGTTTTTCTCTAAGTTTTTAGTTTCAAGTTCATCCAGGTTTTTCCTTGTTTTCTAGCTTTATTGGTGTGTTCTAGATTCATTAAAGTTTCTTAGTTTTTTCTTTGTCTGTCCTCTGTTGCCCCCTTGTGTTTTCTTTTCCCTTGGCTTCCTCCTCAGCTCTACTCACACCTGCTCCTTATTAGCTCGTTAGTCCTTCCTTTGTTCAGTCAGCTCCTTAATGGTTTTCCCCTGATGTCTCCATGGTTCTGAACTCACCCCTGCCTGTCAGCCTCTGCATTTGGGTCCTCACAAAAACCTCCTAACAAACCGTGACAGAATTATGCCATTTCTTCTTCGCAAAACGACTAAGCCAGATAAAAAAGTGAAGAAAGGTCGAGGTCTTTTTTCAAGTTTTGTCATAATCTAGAACATTGTTTCCCCCGAGTGCATTGCTAGGGGTACATGAAAATATTTTATTTCTTAAGTAGTAAAATAAAATACAGCTGGGATCTGTTCTACGTTGTGAAACAAGCTTTTATAAACCAAAAAGTAAGTTTTTCTTTTATGTTTGAGTTCACCTTCAGCTGTAACACATCCAAACCAAGCAGAGGAACAGACTAGATGCAAAGAACAGCCTGGTTTCAGCTGTTTTTCACACTGAGCTATCAGAGCCCATCAAAGCAGCTCAGGTGTTTTGATGAAAACAAAATAAAACTAATTAATTCAGTCGGATTGCAGTTTTTGATCTATATTTTGTTCCCAATTCATCAAGTTTAAATGTGATTAAAAGGGAGTTACTCAGAGGAGCTCCATATTTATGTTGTTTTTTTAATTGAGATGGAAAACATAAAATGATAAGAATTAAATGCTCAAATTAAAAGATTAAATAAAATCATCTTTATTTCATAATCAGTTATTGTGCGCTCCACTTTTGGACAATCATCAATACATTTGACTGAGAGGGGGACAAAATTCCCCATACGGTTTACAAGTCAGAAAAGGTTGGGAAACATTACTCTAGAACACATTTAAGACTGGGCTTTGACTACAATGCCAGGTATGCATTTCACTTCTTCTAAGCTCTGGCAGAACTGCTGCCGTTGGGTCTAGTCTCTCTGGTTTTCTCCCAGGTTGGGACTGTGTTTTAACCAGCATTCCTTCTCATGATGACGAGTGATAACCACAGCAAGATGCCGCCACCGTCATGCTTTCAGCACAGTGGGCAGTTGTAGTTTATTGCAACACGTTGTATTTTGCAAGCTGAGTTCTGGTGTTAGCAGAATACCTTCTTTCAGATGTTTTGGTGGCAAACTGCACTTTAGATTTCCCATATCTGACTCCTTGCCACACCTTCATAAAGGCTATAATTGGTGAGAGATTGATAGGCATCCTGTTAACAGATCAATTTCCAAAATCAGCGTTCATGATGCCAAAAAAAATTCTGAGGTCTTCAGAATAGATTTATGCTGGGATTAAGCAGCTAATCAGGGGACTTGCAAAGCCTGTCAATTCATTTAGGGATTTACTTTAAATGGGGGGGGTGCACTTTTTAGATTTGTATTTCTAAAAACATATATATAATTTTTCTGTGCATTTCAATAGATTTCATGTTCTGTCGCCTTAACTTCCCAATAAAGAGTGAGAAAATATGAATACATATGTTTAAGCAATGTTTGATGATGTACAGGCTGAAGAGGTGCCGGGTGACTTCTCACAGATCGATCTGGCAACTGACGACGTCATGATCCTGGACACGTTGGATCAGGTCCACTAAGCATGACAGTTGTTTGGAAAAATCTTTTTCCAGGTGACCTCCTGCGTTTTAATTGTTTAAATTTTTTTGTCCGTAGATTTTCGTTTGGATTGGAAAGGATGCAAATGAAACCGAAAAGACTGGAGCACCGAAAATTGGTAAAACCTCTCTCTCCTCATCTTATCCCTCGAAATAGGAAAAAAAAAAAGAGTTAAATTGTCTTAATGTCACCTTATTGTCTTTTCAGCCCAGGAATACGTAAATTCAGACCCCTCTGGACGCAAAGGCATCCCAGTCACCACTATCAAGCAGGGGGAGGAGCCACCCTCTTTCACTGGCTGGTTCCATGCATGGGACCCCAAGATGTGGAACCTATCCCCTCTGGAACTCATGAAAGTCATAAGTAAAGGGCATTAGTGGTGGAAACCAACATGCTTAATACTATACACCCTCTGTTTGAAGCATAATGAGCTATAGAAGGAAAAAAATCTTTAAAAAAAATATTTTCTTTGCTGTTTTTCTTATACATTTATTTGCTTACACCTGTGAAACGATTGTTTTTTTGCAACTTACCAACATTAAAAATCACAATGCAATTTCCAAGTTTTTTGATCCACATATAATAAAACCAACATGAAATTAATTGGATCGTGTATTTCAGTTTTGCATATTTTGGAAACAGTTTGCAAAGACAAATAAAAAATAAAAGCCTTTTCTGAACCCCATGCTCTGTCTGGAAGTTTTTCATTTGTTTCACGCCGGCCTGCGATAACAGCCTTGTTATGATGAGCCTAAATCCTCCTGAGCATCAGCACCATGTGCTGGCCACGCTCAGTGGTAATCTTCACACCATGAGCACAAGGCTTCTGCTGAGTTGCAAGCCTGTGGATTAAGGAGTTGGTTTTAAAAGAGAGCCCCGACTATAACCTCCCTCCTTCTGTTCTTCGTTCTGCATCAGCTGTGGCCGCGAGACAAAAACTCAGACAAAACAGGCACAATGACCCAGAAGGTGGTTCTGATCACCGGCTGTTCCTCAGGGATCGGCCTCGCGCTGGCGACCCGGATCGCAAAAGACGAGAAGAAGAGGTTTATGGGTAAATGTTTCGGTTGGCTGCTTCTTTAAAAAACAGGATGCGTTGGGTTAACTTCTGAAACAATCAGATGTCTTAAGTTTTGTGTTAGAAGTCTCACGTTACTGCATGAATATATTAATGCATTAAATAGCTGGAAATATCTGGGTTTATATGTTTAAGTCATATTTAGGATATTTTTTACCTGTTTTATTCAACTTCCTCTTGAATTATTGGACCTGACCATTTACATAACTGGGTTATCTAGTTTTCAATTTGAGTTTAGGAGCAGATAAATTACAGTTTCTAAAAAACTCCTATTTACCTTGTTTGGGTCCCTTTTTTTAACATTTATGATGAAGAATAAGCACCAAAATATTGTGGATGAAATGCAGCATATGATGCAAAATAAGTAATATCATGTAGACATAGTTTTGGTGATGATTTTAGAAGTAATATCCCGGTAGATGGCTTTAATATAGCAACTACTATCTTGTAATGAAGAGCCCCAGAGCTCTGGGGATTATCCCGACTAAATGAGATGATTGGTGTATTATCACATGATCATGGAGTATGCAGCTGAAGTTGATCTAAATAGCTGTCAATGTTCCTCCACTTTCACTGCAATGTTTTAGATCAACACCAAAGCTAAAGAAGAACAAACAAAAAAGCAGGGAATTAAGTGATCCTAAGTATGCATCATACTGTACATCAGGTGGACGCGTCTTTAACAGGATCTTAAAGGAACATCTTTGTGTGGTTGATGTTGTAGTCTACGCCACCATGAGAAACCTGGCTAAGGTCGAGCCGCTGGTTGAGGCGGCCGGCCGGACGCTGGGCAGGACGATGGAGATCAAGCAGCTGGATGTGTGCAGCGAGGAATCCATCAAAGCTTGCGTGGACAGCCTACCAGAGCGCAGGGTGGACATCCTCAGTAAGTCTGCACACACGTGTTAAGTAATGCAGGTGCAGGTCTGTAGGTTATTTTATTCTTCCATCATTGTGTGTGTTTGCAAAGTGCATGCGTTAATGTTGCATTGTGTTTATTACAGTGATGCTATGCAGCTTTCTTGTCCTGTATGAGTTTGGGTGAGGAATGTGTTACTGGACTCTGCTGTGTTTCCTTATGTACTGCCACCTATCAGGAAATCAGTGCAGATTTACAAAAATGTCCTCTGCCCTAACATAATTAGAGATGCAAAGCACCTTGGGCAGTGTTTATTTAACGTGCTTTTATCTGGATCTGTTGAAATTTTAAATTGAAAAAGCTTCCTGGATGGGAAGCGAAACGTCTTCAAACTTGAAGACAAAGTCCAGTGGATTGTTTTTAACTTTTTTTAAATGTATAGAAATATATAGAATAAATAAAATTAATATACATTGCTAGATTTAGGGACTTTGGAGCTGGGAACACTGTGAAAAAATTACTTTCTTTACATCTATTCACAATTTTAGTTTTTTTTAGTTTTTATCTTTTTTATATTCATAAATTTTCCTTTTTTATATCTATTACACAAGGATTATATCCTTTTATAATCGAAAGGGTGGACTGTTGTGGGAAAATTTTTATCTCTCTTCTATGATATATTAATTTATCCTATTTACTCACTATAAAAGTTTTGAATCAGTCTGTTTATCTCTCAAGGCCACACATTTCTCTGCAGGCTGGTGTTTGTAGACCAGACATAGCTTCTTCCCATAACAAATCAGATTCTTTCTCAAGGTTTATTCATTACATTTTACTGTTTAACCAAAGTGTTTGTAATTTGTTTTGATTCTGACTACTTACCATTGTTAGTAAGTAGGGGGAACGAACGTTGTCCAGATCAGAACAGAGCAGAATGCTGTGCCATCAGGGCTGTATGATGAACTGTTCTCTCTTTGCAAAGATAGGAATAAATGTGCCGACTGAGTGAAATCCATCGATCTCCGTTTATTTAACTACGATGAATAGTTGAATACTTTTTTCCCACGACACTTGTAAAGGACACTAAGGCTTTTTTATCTCTCAAAGTGCAAAAAAAACATCAGATTTCTGGCTCAGAAAGAACCTGTATCATTGAGTAAGCCTTGTTTTTACAGCCCTTATTTATATTGACAGATCGAAGAAATATATTGAAAACTCTGTGAAAGTTACAGGTAAAAAGACATTTCAGTTTTCTAGCATCCATGAAGTAAAATCCTAATTGAGGTAATCATATTAGCAGCAGTCATCAGGGCAACATAGAGACACCCATCTAACATAAGAACAATTTAAAGTGATTATCTAACAGTGAAGGAAAGAAGCTGGAGAACCCAGGTGTGCATGGAGAGAGCGTGCAGAAAGCTTCTGGGTCAGGATTCAAACCGAAGACCTTACTTACTCAAGGCGATATTGTTAAAAGAGCCGCAATGCAGCCCGTAAGCCTTGTGAGTGAAGGATAACGCTATCGATCTCCTGTCCTCAGTCAGTAATGCTGGGATGGGGCTGATCGGACCCATCGAGTGTCAGTCCATCGATGAGATGAAGACGGTCATGGACACCAACTTCTTCGGTCTAGTGCGACTGCTGAAGGAAATCCTGCCTGACATGAAAAAGAGGAAAAAAGGCCACATTGTGGTAATCAGCAGTGTGATGGGCATTCAAGGTGAGGAAGGATAACTCGTTCACCTTCAGCGGATTCGTTATGTGAAACATTGACAGTCTCTCTTCTGTGTTTTAGGAATCTTATTCAACGATGTCTACGCAGCATCCAAGTTTGCTGTGGAAGGCTTTTGTGAAAGTTTGGCAGTTCAAGCCCTGAGGTTCAATCTAAAGTAAGCTGAACATGCATGTAGAACACATCAAAACCTGCAAACACCGATTCATAAATGGGGCGGGGGATTTACCATTAGGCCCTGTACTTTGGGGGCCCCGTACTGTAAAACTCTGTTTACATGTATGGTTAATACAACTATTCCTTATTTGTTTACATTAATTATGTTTTTGATAAAAATCCTTTCATTAAAATGCCATCAGAACGCTTAGAATATTAAGTGTGTCTCAGGCCCCCATTTGCTAACCTGACTCCGCCAGATGGATTTGCTC